AGTCTTCATGATTTTACTTATTAATCTCTTTTGATTTAAACACATGTCCGTAACATTTTTTTTATCCAATTTCTGTTTGTTTTTAGAACTCATTTTTGGGTATGACCCTTAGTATACTGGAAAATGGCAGATCCAATGATTTCCTGGACTTGTTTCTTCCTTCTGAAAGGTGTTTTTTCAAATTTGGAAATAGAAACAAGTCAAAAGGTCAAAGATCTGGCGAATATTGTTAATGTGAAAAAACATAAACTTTCTGTTTATCCCGAAAATCCCTTTACTCTTCAGGGCGTGCAGGTTTGGACGCTGTCATGAAGAAATTTATTGTAGTGGATTCCTGATTCTAGGTCCTTCCTCTAATAAACCTTTTGATTTTTTGCAAAAAAATTGCGTTCTACACTCCTCTTCACTCCTCCAGAAATTAAACTGTCTCCCCGAATACGAATTTGAACAACAATACCACTAATATTTAAGAAAATTTGCGTATAAATCTGTCTTTTTGCTCTTGCATATCTTTGCTCTTGTCAGACCATCGCTGTTTTTATCAAATACATCTTATGGTAAATTTTGTTTTGATGGTTTTAAGCAATAGATTCATGTTCCATTATCTGTTTGAATATCAAACAAACGTTGATAATTACATTTACTGATATTTTAAAATAATTGTTAAGACATTCGTAAACGCTGTCGTTTTCACTCTTTTTTCAAAATATAGGGTGACCTTTGAGTACCAAGCTTTTTTACCGTCAAACGTTTCTTAAAAACAGTGTAAACTAGTCCCGATTTGATGTCTATCAAATTTGCTATGTGTCTTAAAGTCAATCATACATAATCAAATATTATTTGTTGAAATTTGGCAAATTGTAAAAGTTTTTATAATTTTTGTTGGCAAGGACGGTACCCATTTTTGATGCCCATTATATAATTTTTTTATCATTGAAATCCACCTGCTCATTTGTCTATAAAACAGGCATTGGTTGCTGTAACTGTCACATATTTCAGTGAATATTTCTTTGGGATTTTTAACAAGTTTTACAGTAGCTTTAATGAAGCTTTTATTTTCACTCTAGTTTACTGATTCTTTACCATTCATTTATAATGCAGCGTCTCGAATAGCCCTTGTTTTCCAGCTTCTCACAATGAAACTATGTGACGAAAAGTGGTCACATAAACTTTTATAAATACATTAAGATTCAATAATGAGAGAAAGTAAAGTTTAATGTCATATGATATGTGTATTGTATGTCACATTCAGGACATTATTTATTGAACTGCCCTCGTACCTTTAAAAATGAATAAAACAATTTTCTATTTAAGGTACGTCACTCGTGAAATTTGTTATTTCAAGAATTTTTTAGAAGTATATTATGGATTGGTACTAATATAATATGATTCAATATCGCAGAAAAAAATAGGGGGCCAGTGTGCATCTTACTGAGCTTGGGAACAATTAAGTTGACTTTTTTTGCACTTAAATTATTACTCTTTGATTTATCATTTTAACCTTTATCATATTTTATCAGATGTACCCATGGCGATAAATATAATCTTATTTTACGAAAATAGTTATAATAACATTTCTCAATGAATTAATCTAGCAAATTAATGCGCGTAAATTAGTGTGTGACCTTTTTGCACTAAAAATTATCACAGTTGGGGTAGTATTCAAAATCTTAATAGGCAATAAAATATTTTCTTCTATCAAACTTTTCACGACTTAGGTGCTTATCGATCTAAAGTATTAAGTCATTTAGAGTAATGAAAGGAAAAATTGGGGTAAGTGATGTAAATTTTGAAATATTTGTCTAAATATGCAATTTTCAGGCCTATCCTCATTTCTTGGCGTTTGTTGGAAGAAGGCGTAAAATTTGGTCTTAAATATAAATTGGGACCTACATATATATATTTGATAAATTGTTTTGTAAAACGGGCTTCTGGTCTTCCAAGAATATATTCCATGGGTACCAATTTATTAATATACATGTATGTGATATTCATATGATACAAATTTTATTCATTATCTTATATATGAGACCAAAAAAAAAACAACACTTTCTGTAACCTTTGAACTCCATATTTAGATATAATGATTATCTTTTTAGGGTGAACTATCAAATAACAATTCTTACCTTCATTGATATGTCGACTCGATATATCGCAGAGAGCTTGTAATAAGAAGATGCAACACATGTGCTATCCACGAGCTTACTTTTATTTCTTTGAATGTCTTTTCTGTTTCATATCTGTATATTTTATTAGAAAAATACGTTATCGGTAACTCTAATAACAAAACGTAATAATGAATGTGATATCTGTAACTTTTCAATCGACAACTTCCATAACTTATGTAGCAATATATCACCTGCGTATGGAGTTTAGATCGAAACTCCATACATGTCAGACTGTGTGGTATCTTTTATCTCAAGCTTACCAGGATATATCGTATCGACATAAGAATGGAAACTACCACTGTTAATTGACAGTGCGTCGTCGATATATCTAAATGTCGAGTTGAATGCCACAGCAAGTGTTTTCTTCTTTTCACGCATAAGATTTTGCACAAATTCTGCTTCATATAAATACAAAAATAGGTCTGCGTATAACGGAGCGCAATTGGTACCCATGGGAATTCGAATAGATTGTTTGAAGACCTATAGTCTCCAAAAACAACGTATGAGTGGAGCCTCATTTATCCGGACGCTTGGTTTGTAGTCAATTTTTCAGGATACGTGAAGCGTCCGGATATCTGAATTACCAGTTAAGGTAGGACAAAACACCCGTGGATTCTATATTAACCCATTTCTTAAAAAAGTACTAGAGGAATAAAGAGTAATATTACTATACTGACAACAATGAATGATCCCTGAAAGAAAAATAATAAGTTTTGGCAAATTTGCGTTAAATTTTGTGAACAAATCAGAAAATCCTATGTATTGGTCATTTGGGAGCTTACATTTTGGAATGTGTTTACGCTATCTAAGTGCAATAAACAAGCATGTAACAGTCTGTTATAAAATGCAGTGCAACTTTTGTTCCATAAATAGTAGAGAGCTGGTGTTTGGACAATTATATAAGGAGTCTCTATTCTTTATGTACTACAAAGGTCAAGGTCATATCAAGAGGTCAAAGGTCAAATATTGTGACGTCATCTACTGAATCTTTTAGTTTTTTGCCATTGAATTTTTTTAAATCACCAAAATATCTGAAACCACCGGTTCAATTTTCTTTATTTTTACACATCTTATTCTAGGACCCATTTGAATCATTCTGTTAATTTTTTGTAAAAATTGAATTATACATTTTCTCTTAAGAAAACTTAAACTGTCAGATATATACATGTGAATTTTCAGTTTCTGACACAACGTATGTTCTTTTTAACTTAATATTTTACCCAAATTTTCCAGTATCAATGTGACTTACTGATTTAAAGTAACAAAAGGGTTATCTTTATTAAAAGTATTACACAAATTTGCAATAGATCAATAGAAATTCTAAAATAAGGCTCATTCTCAAGTCGAATGTCTGATTTCATAAACTTCTTACAGGGGTCTGAAAGGCCATATTTCAGACTATGTGGGCAAAAAACGTGCGGTTGAATTTCTTTCATATCATATGTAAAGAGAGATTCTGTATCCAAGAACAAAATATCAAAGTTTCAGAAAAATTGAATTTGAGGAAAAATTTGACCTATCTATTTGGTCCTACCTTAAACAAGACAAAATAACGTTAAAAAATTCCGTTCCGATGAACAATCGTCCGGATACTGAAGCATCCGGATATCTGGCGTTCGGATATCTGAAGGTCCACTGTAGATATTGTCAATCAAAAACTCAAGCATCTTTTTGATGTCGACTTCAGAATACTTGTGTGTACAATCAGAATGTTTTAACAAGAAAAAGATTTATAAGAGTGATATACCAACATTTTTGGGTAATACAGTCTAGTTTTTTTGTAAATAATTAGATTCGTTAAAGTAGGATTCTTCTCTGCTTTCTGAGTAGATAAAATATTCAATGTATATTTGCTTATTGTTTTTATATAATTTTGTATCTCCATATGACTTCTTTACCATATGTGAAAATAAGAAAAAAATAAATATAGGGTGCATATAAAAATAACTTAAATATCCTAAAAATTTAAGAAAAATAGAGAAAATTCGGATTTGCTAAAATCCATTTTTGTTCAACTATTTGTGTCAATCTGGTAATATCATCTTGTAGACCGTATATGATAATATCTTTTTATGCAAAAAGAAAAACATTTAATCTTTTGAAATAGAAGACCCTATCTCATGATTGGATGCATTTATTTTTATTCTTAATGACCAGGGAAAAGGTAATGACCTTGACCTGACCTTGACTCTAATATGAAACGGTCAAAACTATTCTAACTGAAACCATCACTTAGTATTACCGTCTTCATGATTCTGTGAAAACTTCATTAATTTTTAAATACAAGAAATACAGTTTTGTTTGAGAAGAATCCTAGCTAAATTTAACATATTTTTGCATTAGTGAAGAACATTTTCATTCGACTTATTCTTTTTTTTATTTATTAGAGCAACAGCTGAATTTTTTATAATCAATTTTGACATTAGAAATTGTAAGGCAAACATGATATTTAATTTGGCTGGGTGATTGGTTGCTTTACGCCCATTCAAGAATATTTCACTTGAGACGCCCAATATTTTTTAGACTATAAACACGAAAAATACAATGTGGAGTATCTTAAAACTCTGAATTTGAAAACAAAATTGAGTCTCTTTTTAAAAAGTAAAAAGAACTAATTAAGACTGTATTGCATTATAAAAAATAAGATAATTCATAAACTACTTTTTTTCCAATCAGATGAGTCTTTATATATGAGACTCGCAACAGATGTCACACAGATTTTCTGTGCATTATTTTCAGGTGTAACTATCCTTGATGTGAAGACAAATTATAAAAAATTGGTTACTAGGTTAATTATTCCAAATGGGAAAGTCGGGTTTCTAGCTTTATAAAATATCATCTCACACTACTTCACAATGGGAATTCGATCTTCATAGCAGAGGGGAAAAGTAAGAGGATTATTTTTGTTTTATTTTTGATGACCAATTATTTTTTCTCAAATATATATGGGATACATATATTTGATTATTGAAATGCTACTTCTTAATAATAAGAATATATATTATATAAATATCATTATATAAAATATCAACACTCTACTCTTCATCTCAAACACTATTTCATGTAAATCCAAATAAGCAACCTCTGTCAACAAACAATAAATCAGTTATTAAGTGAATAAATAAATAAGTAAATAAAATAAATAATAAATCCATTTTAAAAACTATATTATGCTCTTTATTTATCTAAATGCTACGTTGTGAATTAAACATGCAAATAATTTTGAAAAATTATTGAAACAAATTATTAATGAAAATGTATACGTAAATAAGTTGTTTTGTTTTATGTTAGTTTTATTCATTTACGTAAATGGTTAGCAGCACTTTTTACAAGTATAGCTGTTTACACTTAACGATGAAATGTTAAAACTAAAACTAATAAATTCTAGAGACATAACATGCTTGAACCTTTTTTAAGAGAATAAACATAATAAGTTTGTTGACAAATGTTCAAATAATATGCATTTATCATCTTTAAAAAACTTTAAGTTTCAAAAAAGAAAGATATTACAATTTTTATAAAGGCAAATCATTAGAAGAAATCAACGAAACCAAATTGCAGTTTTTCATGTACCAAGTTTATTTCCAAAAAGAAAAGGTAAAAATTAAAAATAAGTAAAGTGCCACTAGAAATATGTTCTTAAATAAATTTGTTATATATAATGCCAAAAAATATAGATAGACGAAAGAGGACCTTTAAATGAGATTTTAGAACATATTAATACAAACATGTTATGTTTAGTTTTACTATAATATAACGGCTGCTTCAAATAAGGCTCTAATTTTCATCTTTGAAGGTTAATGAAAAATGTTCTTAAGTATACGAATATTGTGCTGTACAAACTGTAAAACCAAAATTTACAATTTTACTGTAAACACATTATAAACATGAATTTTAACACAATATTTTAACGAACTGGTTCATATCGTTTAGTCTTTGTATTTATGGTTTATTTACTCTTATTGTCTTAAAATAGAGTTTTTTTTGTAACACTATTTGTAAAGTGATGGAAAATCCCACGTTATCCCGCACTTCTGATATTCTTTCACATTATTTCAAAATATCCCTTCGAGATCTTTTACACTGTTACAAATATAAGAGTTCATTTAAAAAATAAATCTTAATAATTCATTACTTAAAATATGTAATTAATGTAGACAAACATAGGTTGAACAGGGCATTTCGTTCTTATCGGATATATGAAAGAGTTTTTAATAATAAAAACATAAAATTAAAAAAAAATAAATCATAACGTTCAAAAATGATTGATTTCCTGATTTACTTATTTAACATTGCGTGCCTTTTTACTTTTCCTATAAATCCACATGATTTTTTTAAGCCTTAGCCTTTTTTATTTTCAAGTGAAGGCCGCTCTTGCGTTGGTAATTGTTCTGGGTGTTTTTGTGAATGTTTACGCCCAGTTTGGTAACAATGTGCAGTTCGCCCAGGTGCAGTTGTACGAGCCTATATATGCAAATCAAGGGAGTGGATCTGGAAATCTATTTGGCGGAAATAATGGATTTGCCGGGTCAACTCTGGGCATCCTACCCATCATAATTGCCGGTACGTATAATATCTTATTTCTGATCATGTTGGCAACATAGCACTCATAAATGGTATGAATCGTTTTAAAAGATGAATCTTTCAATGTTAAAGTCTGCTGTAAAAATTCCAAACAAAACTTCTTTTGAATATTTCTTGTTCAGACATTTAAAAAAAATATTTTTCTAGTATTTAGAAAGATTTTCTCCTATACTCGATCCAGGGCATCCGAAAGTTAAACGATTGCATGGCATGATTGTATCAAAATTGTGAAATTCATGGTCCCAAATGTTAGGGAGTTCTAGACTTGTGCTTTGGCGGGGTTATATGGATTATATAGTGATCTTTTTCTTTACTCCTAAGCAATAAGCATACAAACAGTGAACAGTAATGACGAGCATGGATGGCTCTTCTAACTTTGTGAATTTCATGCCCTTTGGATTAGGGATCTGGTGGTAGACTTGGGGTCTTTTACATAGAGTAAAATCGCATTAATTATTTGAAAATCTTGACCCATGTATTAAGCAAGCAAAATTGCATAATTATTATAATTTAGCGTGCCAATGGTACTGGTGTTAAAGCGGGGCCAATTGTTCATATTGTAGAAATTGCATCAATTCTCGGAACTTTTCATATTTAGGCACTTGAGACCATAGTCACCGTAGTAAAAGCTTAGTATAAAGACCAAAAAATGAGGAAATGTTTTTTATCTTGAGTCAGACATAAAAGATGGGTGAACAAGGCCTGCAGAATGCCTATAGTGCGACAAACATGAAAGTGAAAAAATAAATTTAGTTATAAAAAAATTCTTTAATATGTCATCTAAGATAAAGTATGTTTAAGGTAAAATCTCCACAAATCGCTAAAATCTCATCAAGATTGAAATTATATTCCTATGAAATAGCACACATACACCAAAGAGAGCAAGAAGGATAATTTATTATTGCTTTTCACAATTTTTCGACGGTAGTGGGTCTTTACTCCATTTTATAAAAAAAAGGTTTTTCATTAAAGTATGCCTAAAAATAACAATTTTTGGTGAACAGAAACAAATGTAATCCTGTTATTTCTAAAACCTATCACTTTCAGTAAAAAAACAAAATTTGCACAGATCATGCTAATATTGAAATTTTGTCAATTTTTCCGATAGTGCGTAAGATTGTCACTCTAATATGTATTTTACTGGAAGTAAAAAAGGTTTCCCCTTTGCTATTAATTTTGAAAATTAATCACGGTAAATAATATTATTGAAAGTTCACTTTAATAAACAATCACACACAAAATTTATTGTACAATAAAAAAAGAATACTTAAATGTTTTGTTTTTAATTTTCAGGTAGATTCATAAATACAAGATAAATAAAAATGATCGAGATAAAAATACTCACTTAACGATTTTTAAAGACCATGCAAGTGGAGACGATGTTTGAGGGGATGAGACAGTGTCGGCAATAATGCTTAAACACCATTGTTTTGTGTAGTTTTTATGGTAAAAATGACAATTAAGAGAGGTAGATCTATTTTAAGATTTACTACTGTGTAAATATTAATTATTTTTTGTTCCCAGATCACCCCTTTTATCTGACTTTTCGACAACATAGCTTCGTCTTTATTTTATTGATTCTTAACATTGTTGTTTCAGACTTTGAAAGACCTTTAAGGTCTTTAGAATAAAGTATAAGTGTGGAAAATTTCTATCGCAGTACTTAATAATTAATTACACCATTTTTGAATTTGTTTAAATTCACATTCCTTAAATAATTTATCAAAACACGTAGTAGATTTTTCTGGTGTAAGAGGAAGAAATCTGCTTCGAGTTAACATCTTTACAATTAGGTTTTTGGAATGTCATAGAGCTACATGTTGTTGTGAAATATATAAATTAAATATATTTGAGCAAAAAAATTAAAATCGCTGAAATGAATTTATTACGGAGGAGAAAATATGATGGATTCTTATAATATTTATTTTATTTACAGTCATTTTGTTATTAACCTTTTCACCCATGGCGATTGCTTCATCCAGCAACATGGAGGCTAGATAAAGGTAAATATATATAATAAACACTCACGTAATACCAAATGCAGTTTCATATGATCTTCATATAATCTGCATTCTCGTAAATGAAATGAAAAAAATATATACATGTTTCGAAAATTTATAACTTCCATCTCACTGATAGAGAAAAACAAATCTTGCATTGATTACAGCTTACAATATTTCGATACATGTAATAGTCTCACTATTCAATTGTAGGAATGGTGGAAAAGTGCTTCATTTTTACCAACATCTGCAATATACACATGTATGATAAATAAACACCATTAATTAAAGCACTGTTTTTTTTCTCTCTCAATATTCTGACATTTTAAGTCATTTTTACATAAATCAATCAACTTTTATTTATGACAAAAATCAAAAGACATGCATCTTATCCACTGAAGGAATACAGAGATGTCTTTTATTATTTTCTTCTCTCAAATTGATTGATATTGTGAAAAGTTTAAGAAAAAGCAGTTTGATGGACAAAAATATATATTTTTAGACTAAATGATTGCCTAGGGAACATTATTAGAAAAATTATCCTTACTGTAGTCAGTTACTTCTTAATGAAGTTTATTTTCATTTTATGTATCCGAACATACATTCACAAATATTCCGTGGAATTCAAAACAAACAGATCTGCAATATTGTCTTTTATACATGAAAAATATTTGTCATAGATAGAAATGCCATAAATTATTAATATTTGCCATAAATAGAATGAATTTAAATATATTGCTAATTGATAATTGTTTTCAATTCATTTAATTTATCAATAAATAATTTCTTTGGATGTTATTATGGAAATTAATTTCTCAGCTGTTGCAGAAAAAATACATAAAAATACGCCGGTTATGTCATTTTTTTTTCTTCAATAGCTGCGACGTTAATTCCCGTAGAATTCTATAGCAAATGATAGATATACCGACGATCAACGTTTAATTAACCTATCTAGAAAACATGTCAGCGAGACTTTCCATCTTCTTCATATATGGTCGTTATACGGGTTGAACTCGATCGTTGATGGCCAGATAGCTAAGTTGGTAGAACACCTGGTTAAAATTCAAGGCGCCCAGTTTCGTATTCCGGTCTGGTCCCTTAAGGACAGACGAGACGTTCCTAAATAATAGATAATTTATTCCAAGAATTTGTCATTGAAGAATTAATACTTTATTATGCTTTCCATATGATAATAAAGCAAATTTAAAAATGAGTTTCCCGCAGCTCTGTTATTATTCAGATTAAATGAAGAAACAAGTATGAGTATTGTTGTAGATATGTCATTTATTGATGACATAAATGAAACACATGAAATTTGGGAGATCCTATGACTCTCTACAATTAGTATCTACACCATGTTATGGATCTCCCGAAAATTAAAATAACATCATGACAATACTCAAAAACACAAATTTATCAAACATTTAAGCTGAAAAATAAGGTGGCAACAAACAATAGGCCACAAAACAAACTAAAGTATGAAATACATCCCAAATTAAAGATTACCTAAGGGATGGTTGTACGGGGTGGTGGAGGGTATGCTTTTCGTACAAAAAATAACGTGTACCAACACTTGCTGCATCTAACAGTGATAACAATCACGTGACATCTGTGACAATATCTAACGTCTAATTACCGCAAAACCCTGAAACCCGAGCCTATGCATTACCTAAAATTGTTAACTCTGAAACCTGTGATATACAAAGATACATTACAAACACTACATTCTAACCACAGAAATGTAAAATTATAAATGAATGCATAAAACATATTATTTACAATAATATTACATTATGCTTTCCATATGATAATAAAGCAAATTTAAAACTGAGTTTCCCGCAGCTCTGTTATTATTCAGATTAAATGAAGAAACAAGTATGAGTATTGTTGTAGATATGTCATTTATTGATGACATAAATGAAACACATGAAATTTGGGAGATCCTACGACTCTCTACAATTAGTATCTACACCATGTTATGGATCTCCCGAAAATTAAAATAACATCATGACAATACTCAAAAACACAAATTTATCAAACATTTAAGCTGAAAAATAAGGTGGCAACAAACAATAGGCCAACACAAATCCAACTACAATGGATTTTCCGCCATACTTTAACATGTTTACTCACAAAAAATTGAGGTACCTTACCAGGCATTTGTGCGAGATACCACAGGGTGGCATTTCTTATGTTATCCTTTAGGGAAAAAAACTTAGTTTGTTAAAGTCACATTTTAAGTGTTTCAAATTTTTAAAATCAATTAGAAACCGGTTTAGAATTCAGAAAGTAATGAAAATTTTGTATATTTTTCATATATTATGAAGATATACAAAACAGATATTTGGGGAACGTATCGTCTGACCTTAAATGTTTATTCTCTCTACTTACATTTGGTGTTTTGTCATGCTTTGAAAGTGACAGGCAAAAGACCTGCCTGGGAAGAGCCTCATATTCACTGGTGTAGAGAAAGATCGAGTACCACTGGATATTTAAAAAAGGAACAGTGTTACTATTGAATTGTTTTCATCATAAACATGAGGAAGAAATTAAAGAAAATATTATTTAAAGTCTCTTTCAATTTTTTTCTCACTCGTATGAATAATTGAGACGCCACCCCTTGCCGTGAGACACTGCAAGTGTTGACAGGTACTCAATCTCAGTAAGGGTCTTTATCGACGGGACAACGGACCTCGGTTAAATAAAGTGTCTGTTCCGAGCAGCGTATGTCAGATACTAATGCAAAAAGAAGGATTACTCTAACAAAGATAGATTTAACAATTTAAGATAAAACATCACAGCTTTAATATCTTTCATCTTGTGGATGTGTTTGACTGAAACTTTAAAATTTGTGTATCTCTACACACCATGAATGTTTTCGACATTGTTTAGACGTAAATTGTAGTATTCGTTTAAGTTCATTTGCATGTTTTAATTTTTTTTTTAACTTTGTCCACACTTTCATCTTAAAATTTATTCCTTTTTATATAATTGATAAGTATCATCGATTTAGAATGAGTGTCCAAAAAAATAATAATAATAAAAGCATATATAAATTCTTAACGACGTCGGAACATTCTTGCCGTGAAGCAAATGACCCAATGATGTGTTGATTTTGTAAAGTATTTGAATACAATATCGTCAAAATAGATAGAGTTATTGGTACATAACGTATTGGAGTAAAATTTCGATTATGAAACATGTATGTTCAAAACATAGGCTCTGGATGCGTGTAACAAGACAACAGGGGATGCTTACTTCTTCTAGGCACCTGTTCTTACCTCTGAAATGACCAGGGATCTTGTATCATGCAAAGTACACTAAAATTTATTTGTATGCGTTAGTTTTTTCCTTTTAATTCTTTTTCCGACGTCAAATCTTTTGCTTGCTTTCTGAATGAACAGTTGTTTTTATTATTTGCAATTGTAGCTCACCTGAACAGAAGGCACAAGTGAGCTTTTCTGATCGAAATCTGTCAGATATCTGTCGTCGTTGTCGTTGACGTTGTTATTGTCGTTGTAAACAATTTCATCTTCTCCAGAGCTACTAGGCCAATTTCAACCAAACTTGGCACAGAGTATTCTTGGGTGAAGGGAATTCAAGTTTTTTGATGAAGGGCCATATACCCTCCTCCATGAGGAGATAATTAGGAAATAACGAAAAATTAATGACATTATTAAAAAGTCTTCTCAAGAACTACTGGGCCAGGAAGGATGATTGATTGATTGATTGAAACTGTGGAATCATTGTCAGATGGTGTAAATTCAAGTTTGTTCAAAATATGACCCCCGGGTGGGATTGGGCTACAATGGACGACCAAAGTTCAACATAGGAATATATAGGGAAAAAAATCTTTAATAAAGAAAAGCAAATCACACTTGGTTAAATTTATGTGAAAGCATTCTCAGGCACTATAGATTCAAGTTTGTTCAAAATCATGACCCCCGGGGTAGGGAGGAGCCACAATGGATGATCAAAGTTTAACATAGGTGTTTTTAAAAAAAATCTTTTTCTCAAGAACAACAAAGCCATGGTTTGTCATATTTATCTGGAATCACACTCAGATAGTGTAGATTCAAGTTTGATCAAATCGTACCTGCTCCCTCTTATATATACCTTCTGCCTTTTAGAGGTTGGTCAGGACCACTTATGCAATTAAGATTTTTAATACTAAACTGATTTTAGCTTTTTTCCTAGCCACCGTTCTCAGGTGAGCGATGTGGCCCCTGGGCCTCTTGTTTTGTATTTGTTGTTTAAATTTGTGGAATATCAAAATTCAAGTTTGGAATTATGGCTGGAAATCTATTTTTTACCTTAACAATAACACATTTTCACTTATATTTGATGTATATTTCAAGACTCAATAACTTCTTGCACTTTGTTATTTGGATCAATTAAAGCTTTATTTCAGGGAAAAACTGCCTGAAAAATATGCATATTATTATGCAAAAAATCTTTATCTAATGGACCCAAGCAAAGTCTACGTAAAAATGCACAACAATTCTCTCTTTTTAAATATTAAACTGCGTTATTTTTTGTAATATAATAATATATTATATATTATATTATAATATATATTAATATATAATTTGCATGTTCTTCCTGTGCTTGCCACTGTAAAAAAAGGATATGTGAGTTTGCAGAATCAAGAGGCTCATGAGGCACCTCGCCCACCTATGCATAATTAGATGGGAAAAGAAAAATCTAAAAAAAAAATACTTTCAGCATTGAGAAGATTACCTATAAATGTGATCACAATTACCCCCAACCACATACCCAGCAAATAGTGTAAGCTTTACCTTTAATTCGCATTAGCAATTCTTATACAACCCATGCACAAATTTATAGCATACATTTTTGTTTATTTCTTTAATCTGAGTTATAATCCTAAAGCATTTTCAAATTAATATGGAAATATATCAGATTACGAATAGCATTCAGGCTAAAACGTCCATCCAAACAATTTAAATCAGAAGCAGACCAAACTGTAAAGCATCAGAGGTAGGAACATTTGCCATCGAGGAGTTAAGCAGTCATGTGCTTCTTGGCATGACTGGAAAATGACGGAAAAATCCGTTGACCAATTAGTGTGCAAATAACGGTATGCAAAATATCAGTTGGCATTTGACTTCATAATAAATTGTATTTGCATAAAAGGTCAATTTATCGACCATTGATAGACTTTACGAAATGATGACTTTAAAAGAGACTGTTGATATTCTTGTTTCATCAATTTGTTTGTCAATAACCTATTACATATTTCAATTTTGAATATTTTTAATATTCCAAT